ACCGGCAATTATGTGCATATTTCGTATGATAACCTAAATGGGAGGGGAAAAAAATGCGCTGGTTCTATTATTTTTCTCCTCTTCGAGGTTCAAAGAGAGGATGGCCTAGGTGGAATCCCTTGCTGATGGATGGTTGCTGGGAAGGAGCGAGATGCGGGACTCGATGTGATTGATAGCAAAGTCGTTGTGGGGAAGAGGGGCTGTCACTGTCCTGGGACTCGGGGATTGTTACTGTAAATCCGTGTTGTAAATCTTGCCAGAGAGGCAGGTATGAACAAAAGAGCTGAGTTAAAGGGATTTTAAGTGTATGATCCGCTGGCTACAAAGTACAGACCAGATAAGACTGCTAATGATGGATAATTAACGGACAAAAGACAAGGTAATTCAATTAAATTGTGGTGATATATATATATATTGTATATATGTCGGATTTAGAATTTGTTCCAAACTTTACCAAGGTTTATTTCTTGATGCATTTGAAATAATTAATCAAAAATATGCCTCGCATTTGATATAGCCCCAATAGGATCAAATTGGTGTCAAGTCAAGTGACTGTGGAGTGGGCAGGCAAATATGCCAAGTAATTTTACACACAGCAATTGTGCACACACGGATCCATATTGCACATAATCACATTCTGTGCTGATTTCTGCATTGTAGAAAATTATGGGACCTCTCGCTCCTGATGACCTGACCAATAACCCACCAGGTAGATGGTCATTCACCTCCCGGACGCTTGAGGGACATTGCTGTGGTCGAATTGGCTGTAGTGTTCGCCTACAAAACACACAGTCACTATACTTAACTATTATCATAATTATCGTAAAGTGTCTCTAGAAGTTTTGATGTTGGAGGCACTTTAACAAGTTATTTTGATTTTATTAGGAACTTCAAGTGAAACTGAGCGCAAACAGGGAAGAGTCCCAACAGTTTCCATTGGCATCAATTTACTGGGAAACACGGAGGAGTTTGCTGCACTTTTTCTGTGTTCCTCTGCAATTTAGGCTTTGTGTCAAAAATACCATTGATGCCAAGATGGGAGAGTCAATGCGCTGGTGAGATCAGCTTTGGTGTTTTCTCATGCCTGACATTTCTTACACTCCTTGCCCACTTTTGTGGGTTTTTTTGCTTTCCCTCCATTAAATAGAGATCATTCTGATGCAGGATATAGCATATGTATTTGATATCGCACCTTGAAACATGTCAAAGTGCTCCAACTATTTTTTTATCTGTAAATTGTACTGCCTTTTTTTGTGCTCGATTGGACATGAATGCTGAAGCTAACTTGCTCACAGCAATGTCCCACAATCAGTCGTGAAGTGAATGATTCTTTTTTCTCTGGCGGGAGAAACTCTCTTCTCTTTTCAAATAGTGCTATAAATAGAGGGACAGCACCTCGGTTTAATGTCTCATGGCATCTATGACAATCTAGAGGTGTGCTAAAAGTATCAGCATAGACCGTGAGCTCACAGGTCCGACATGCGGTTTGAACTGGTAAACCTTCCAAGGAGTCAACAGTGCTACCAACTGAGCCAGATTGAGACCCACCTCATTATTTATTTTTGCTCAATTTCATTTTTCTCTCTACCCAAACCCCTAGCGTTATCAACATCGAAACCAGCTTTTATTGATCACCTTTCAGGAAGTGAGAAAACAGTCTCAAATGCTATCCACAAGTGGAGTGGGAGACTGAGCAGGATGGGAAATAGAAGGAGGGTAAGACGACATGGCTGAGGGTGATAATTTTTCAGATGGGTTTTGAGAGGAGGGTGCGAGGCAGAACGATTAAGGGAGAGAGCTCCGGAGAATAGAGGGAATGGTGCTTTGAAGCAGGGACAGTATCGGCTGCTGAGATCCACAAAGCATTTTGATCGAGAACCTGATAGAAACCTGGTGTGGGGCTGGCGTAGGGAGATGGAATACTTTCCCATATTTTTGTCACGATGGCAGCATTAAGTAATGAACGGCAGGTGCATGGCTCAGTTTCCAAATAAAGCTTCTTCTTCTCTGGTTCAACAAGCCTGACCTCCGCAGAGCATCCCTCCAGCACCTGCGTGATTTCCTTCCCACTCTGCATGTCAGCCACTCACTTACTGCTGTGATCCCTGAAAACAAGACCGACCTCTTGGTGCAAATTAGCATTGGATTATGGGCAGTTGGAATATCCAATTGGAATCCAATTTTTTTTTAAAAAATTGGCTGCCGCGTTTCTCCCCCAAAATACCCAGTCACTACACTTTAGAGTATATCCTTTGAAGCGCTTTGAAACGTCTCGAAGACATGATAAGGCGCTGTATCAAATGTAAAGGTTATTATTATTATATAAATAGGATTGAACACCTACAATTGGGATGGTAAAACTCTTTGACTTTATCCAGCCCCCGCCCCCCCACCCTCCCCCTCCCTAGCAGGTGCTTGTACAACTTTGTGATTTTTTTATTAACATTTTTATTATTATTTTCCTCTTCTATTGAAACTCTTGTGACTTGTCTCATCCTCCCCGCATCACCTTCCTCCTCCTCCTCCTCCTCTCAAACAACACACCTAGTGTTTTTTTTTAATTTTTAAAAAAAAGTTATGGATTCTTTCCCCAAGTTTGTAAAACATCCCCCAACCCCCATTCATTCAAAAACTTGTCTCTCTCTCTGTCTCTCTCTCCTGAGAGTGGGTCCCTTTAATTCCAGGCTGCGGGAGCCGGGGATCGATGACTACCGAGTCGACCGCCGCGCGCGCGCGCGCCGCGCCGCGCCGTCGGAGCTCGGCGCTCGAGTCTCGACGCTCCGCCCTGCGCTCTCCCCGCCGATGCCGCCCGATCGTGGGCGGATTCCACGCCCCTTTGGGCGAGTTTTTTTTTGTCGCCCCCGTCCCCTTTTTGTTCTACGTCGGGCTACTATTGGGCTACTCACCGGTTTGCGGCCCCCCCAAAAAATAGCCCAACAGCCTGCACTCCCGACGGCGGGGGGCGGGGGAGAGAAAAAAAAACCGCACGCGCGGGGCCGCCATGGCGATGGACGCCGCCGACCTGTTCGCCAAACTGCGAGCGGGAGCCCGCTTCGACCTCAAGCGCTTCGGCCGAGACGCCAACAGATTCCGGGTGAGACAGGCGAGCCGTCTAACGTGAGGGAGGGGAGGGAGGGAGGGAGGGAGATTGGGGGCGGGCGGGCGAGCGGGCGGGGGGAGGTTAGGAGTGCGCGGAGTCAGGCAATCAACACTCAAATCCTGCTGCAAAATGCCTGCATTTTGAAGCCTGTTTCAGCTGTAAATTTTTCATGTGCAATTGGATCTGTGTGATGAGATAAGATGTTTTTGATGATGGGTGACTTGTGACCCTTGACAACTGTTTGGTACATATTGAAAATACTGGTTTATATTGTTTTGTTAAACTAAGAAGACAGTGTTAGCACTTACACATCTAAGATATCTGAAGCTTATGACAGCCCCACTATCATGCAACAAACTTAGTGGAGTGAAAATGAGTAGTGCCTGTTAGGTAATAATAGCTGCTTGCTGCTGCATAATTTAGATTGCTAACAATTATTTGGGTGTGGTGGGGAGGGGGTATGTGAGAGTAATAAAGGAAGAACGTTTGTTTTCTAGATAATAACTGAAAGGAACAAATCCCTTTCCGTGGAAACCTGTATTAATTTGTTGCTTTTTTTAATTTGCATGTTAATTTTGGTTCAATAATCCCTGTGTTATTCCCAAAACATTTACTCTAGAAAATTCTGTTGGACTGTCAGCTCCTGAGTCACAACTGCATTAGACTGTAGCCTTGTTGGCAATATCTCTTCATGTCAGGAGGCAGTTGAAGTTTCCCATCAGGAAACACAACTTGTCCTCACTAGATTTTGACTTTCCATACTGTTTCTTGAGTGCATACAGTGTTCATGTTTTATCCAATGACCTGTATTGCCTTACAAAATACAATCACTACAATATACCCTGTGAAATGCTTTGAGAAGTCCTGACATGTAAGGCGCTGAATGAAATGCAAGCATCAGTATTATCGTGAAGGCGTTTTGCTCACAAAATACACAGTCAATTCACTTTACAATGTATTCTGTGAAGCGCTTTGAGATGTCTCAATGGCGTGATACGGCGCTATATCAAAAGCAAGTATTATTATTCTCATTTGGAATGCTCAACTAAAATGATTCGCTTTCTGTCCAGTTGTGGAAGTATTGGGAGTTGCACAAAGCAAAGTAATTATTTCTGACATGAAATATCCAAATTTGTGAAATATTGCATTAACAAATGTGGACCAAAAGATGTTTGGTCATTAGAGTTTCATGTTCGTATTTTGATGTTGTTCTCCTGTAAATATCCATTGGCCAACAAGATGATTTCACTCATTCATCTAATTAATTCCTCCTCAGTTCTTCAGAATGTGAATTTCAGGTGTTAAAGTGCTCAATAAATTCAGAAATCTGGTATCTAGTATTCAAAGCTAAAAAAAAAGGCAGGTTATTTAGGAACCTGACTTTTACAGTCGCTCATATTAACATTTTTCCTGTTTATTCCTTTGATTACTGAAATATCCTTAAATCCTTAATTGAGCCCCCCTCGCCCCACCCCAAAGTCTATGTGTGGTGATATTGTGGGCCCGAGCCATGTCTTGCCACTTTGCACGGTGAGTTCACACATCAGCTCGTCTCTGTTGGCATAACAGTGTTTCAGTGCTTTTCTGATTGATTCATAGCTTGGTTTATTATTGGCTGCAATCCTGCACAGTCACCCGAAGCGTAAATGCACACAAATAAGTTTTTAATTGATGCAGAAGTTCACATTTACAGGGTAAACATTGGTGTTCAGTGTGATCTTTCTCCTCTCTCCCACTCACTCCTCTTTCACACAGTCTCCTACTCGTGAAGCGTTGAGCCCTAGAAATGCAGGATATTGGTCCAGTTAACTGTTTTAAGTTCTGTTTCATAAACTGGATTTAAAAAAAATCTTGTGAAGATATTCTAATGTTCTTTATCTTTTATTTTGTTTGCAGCTTCATGTTCCCTGTTTCAGGAGCATTGGGCTCTCCCCAAGGTATGCCTCAAGGTATGTATTGGATTCTTTTTATTCTATGATGCAGATTTTGATGACTTTTCCCTTTTGCTTTCTCTAATCCTTAGCTTCTTTGTTTTATGACTGAGGAGGACATGCAAGCTGCTCTAACATTAATATTTAAACCTTTCTTCCATTGACCTAGTTTTGTTTTGTACAAGGCTTTCTGTTGCCCAGTTTAAAGTGTGCTCTTCAGGTGGCATGTTTGTTGACCCGTATTGCATATGAATAGTTTTTCAATTATACTTAATCAGTTTCTTCTTCTTTCTGATTATTTTTTTTAGACATCCAGTTCTGTATATTTGTGCTCCTTGGTTGATGTCACATTGGTGTCTGATGTAACATGGGATCAAATGTCTCTCATGCCCCCCAAATAACTCCACAAAATGAGGCTGCTATCTCTTGCCAAACTTCGCTTCAGTCCATCTCTCGGAACTCAAGGCTGAATGTCGTAAACATCAGTGTATAAATCTCACGCTTCTCGTATAGTCAGTTTAGTTACAGACTTACCCCATCCTGCTGTGTTTGACGTTGAGGTGTTGCAGGTTTCCCTGTTCAAAGGCAAATTACCGCAAGGTCTTCTCATTTGCTACTTATTGAATACATCAGTTATTGAGAGGCATCTTATGCATCCTTTAACAGGTGGAATAGACGAAATGCTGTATTTCTGTATCTACGAACAGATCTTTTATCCTCTTCTGTAATGTAATATAAGCATTGATACCTTTCCTTGTTACTGATACCTGAAAGGCTTTGCCGCTTCAGGGTCAGAGTTGTGGGTTGACATTAGCTGTTTTGTACTAACAATATGGGTGGCAATTGGTGAAGTGTTGGATTGCTGAAGAAGTTAACTTGGCGACTAAAATTGGAGGTTGAGGCTATCCAATTCAAACGGGAAAACGTTGAGCCCTGTGTTGCGCCTGAAGGGAAAATTTCATCCCGAAAATGCCAACTCTATGGTTACTTTTGAGTCGTGCGTGTGTTTGTGGTGCGTGTGTTTGTGTTAGCCGTGCGCGCGTTTGCTGTGGCGTGCCCTGCACGCGCGTGTAGCAGTCACAGCGCTTTATTCACTCATAGAGGACCATGTTATGCATCCATGCATAATAATCGCTACTTTGCTTTGGGTGTTTTCGAAGCTTCTGTGACATCGCCGGTTATGATCTCATAAAGCCGTGAAATATCCATTTAAGTGACAGCGTTGATCACATTGTTGATCGTTTGCCACATTGCTTGTCTTCCACTGCGCTTGGAAACTACTGAGCGCAATGCTTCAAGCGCGCACAGTACTGTGTGACGCAGTTGTGCACAAGCACTGAGTACTCGGTTTGGTGGTTAAATTTTGGAAAAGTGATTACTTGCGGCATTATTTCATTACTCTTAATTGAAAAGCAGATTGACCAGGCGGGTGTGTAAACAGAAATGGCACGGTTTGTGTTTGTAGGAATGATGCCAATGCAACAGCAGCAGCAGCAGCAGCAAGGATTTCCCATGGTTCCTGTGATGCAGCCCAACATGCAGGGCATGATAGGAATGAATTTTGGGTCACAGCTTCCTCCAGGAGCGATGCCTATGCAGGTAACCAGAGAGATTACATTACTTCTCCCCAGTAATGCTTGCCGTGTCTCGTGCAGTCCGTGCTACGAAATGGCAGGTCTGGAGGATTGAGTCCTCAACATCAACTGCGCCATGCTTAGAAGGTATAATAATCCTTGCATTTGGTATAGTGCCGTATCACGTCTTTGAGACGTCTCAAAGCGCTTCACAGAATGTACTGTAAAGTGAATTGACTATATTTTGTGGGCGAAACTATTGAAGCCAGTATTCTTTGTCTGCTACCTGCAAGTTACCAAGTTCAGTAGCAATGGTATCTGCCCTGCCTTGTAAATTGTGTATAGGATTGAGGGCCCAAGAAGAAAAAGAGAGATTCGTTTTTATAATTAAAAAAAACTGGGTCGTAAGGTGTACAAGAGAACATGCTCTTCCCGGTCTCTTTTTTTAAACTCCCTGTTTATAAGGTCAGCCTGACATAGTTTATACCTCTAAGATTGTGGATGTGACAGCTCCACCCAAGCTGTGCAAATATTTGGATTTAGCTTTGAGATGGAGTACTTGCTTTGATTTATTGTTGGATGCTCTTTAAAGTATACAAGCAAAAAGGAATACACAGAAGTTGAGAGGGGCACCTGGGACTTGGAAAGTTTATGTTAAAAGCTGCGCGTACTGAGATACCAGTCCATTGGAGATTCTAGACTTGTCCTGGAGCTTAATTATTAGCAATCAAATTAAAGAATGTTGGGCTGCTATGGTAATCCAATAGCAGATGTTACCGAACAAAGTCTAGAGGAGTTGCAGCAGAGGTGAAAGTCATCTGAGCTTGTTCTAACTGGATCTAAATAACAAGGGAAGTGACTTGGTTTCAGTGGCCTTTTCTTCCCTCTATTTGTGTTCTTATAAATATAATAACAATAATAATAATCCTTGCATTTGATTCACCGCCTTATCACGTCGTTGAGATGTTTCAAAGTGCTTCACGGAATATACTGTAAAGGGAATTGGCAATATATTTTGTGGGTGAAACGCAGCAGCCAATTGCACACAGTGGATTGAGTGACTTATCTATTTGTTTGTTTGAAGGGATTATTACCTCATACCTTATTATTCCCTAATGTGGGACACTGCTGCGCGCAATTGGCTATTGCGTTTCGCCCACAAAATACGTGATGAGGCAGTATATCAAATGCGAACATCATTCAGAAACTCTGTTACTTCACTGATCTATTTAACCTTTCTGTTCTTCTTTCAGGGTGGGATGGCAATGGGGCCGATGCCCTCGGCTGGGATGCCCTACATGCCGCAGCATGCGTACATGGGAATGCGTCCTCCCCCACCTCAGTACACACCAGATATGCAAAAGCAGTTTGCTGAAGAGCAGCAGTAAGATGGCTTCCTGAGGCTCAACTCGTTTTAGAATGCTTTTTGAGCAAGATCATTCGTACACGTTACTTCCTCCCGTCCTTTTTAAGCAAAGATGTGCACTCAGTGCGGCTATGCCGTTTGTAAAGTGCTTGTGCTGAATCAACAAACATACAAGGCAACCATTCCAGACCTCTCTTACACCTCGGGGAACATTAGATTTACCAGCAGTGCAGCAATTGTGATTGCGCCTTTGTTGTATTACAGTCTCAATGTTGAATCTTTTTTTAACTCTTCAGATAGCCCCTGTCCAGATGTTTTTTTTGTAGTCAGCCAGTACGCTCAGAAACACATCACCATTGCTTCAGACCATCCAAATCAAATTATTGAGAGTTCCACTTATGTGTGGAAATTTCCATTCATCCGGAAAGAAGGATGTGCATCAGGGATGTCATTGGGAACACTACTTCCCGCCGCTTGTCCAGTTAGGACATGCAATCCTTTAGGGTTTGGCTTGCGAGTTTAAAGGTGAGAAGAATTCCTGCTCCTTTTGACTCCATGAATGTGGAGGGAGAAATCGAGCTGCAGGAAAATCTGCCCTTTGCTAGAAAACCACTCGAATTGTAATGAATGTATTTTTGGATGAGATGCTCCGCTAACATGCTAGACAAACCCTCTAATTTGCGTGATATAAATAACACTTGTTTTAGGTGCGGTGTCTCATAAAAGAAAAGAATGAGTTCAGAGTTATGCTGTTCGGAACAGCGGCATCATGATCACATTGATGTAATCCAGGTTTTTCAGGAGCTCTCCTGTTATTCTAGGAAACGATTTGAACAGCAGCAAAGGATGATGGAAGAGGACCGCAAACGGCGACAGTTTGAAGAGCAGAAACAAAAGCTACGTCTTCTGAGCAGTGTGAAGCCGAAGGTAATATTAATAATATTAATAATATGCCTTACATTTGGTATAGCGCCTTTCATGTCAGGAGAATGTCTCAACACGCTTCACAGGCTATCCTGTAACCACAACAACTTGCATTTATATAGTGCCCTTCATGTGGGGTAGTGTCCCAGAGCGCTTCACAGTGGTGGAGTCTTGACAACGAGCCAAGGGGAGAGGGAGGGGGGAAGTCTTTTGGAAGGTCTTTCGGCAGGATTTGATGGTGGGGAAGGAGGGGACGAGGCGGAGTGATTGAGGGAAAGAGTTCCCGAGTTTTGCGGCGCTCTGGCTGAAGGTATGGCCACCAATGGTGGAACGGAGGGCACGAGCGACAATTAGGAGGCCGGAGCCAGCCGAGTGGAGGCAGGGGGTGGTGGAGTGGGGGGTAAGCAGGTCTGTAGGGAGGTGCGAGTGAATGAACTGTGAAGGGCATAGATCTCGCTCGGTGTAGGTCTATCTTATGAATAAAGAAACCATCACTGCTCTGTTCTTGCATTTTCAGAGTGGGGAAAAGAACCGAGATGATGCCCTGGAAGCAATTAAAGGAAACCTAGCTGGGTTCAGCAGGGACGCAAAGATGCACCCAGGCCCCACTTCACATCCTAGTAAATCAGGTAATGCCAGTCCCTGCGGAAAGCTTCTATTTTTGTACACGGTGGAAAGATAATGGAAGGCAGGTGTTAAAGTCCTGTTTGAGAGTAGTTCGCAAGCTGTTCATAACGAACGTTATTCATTATCTAGCAGTCCGATCAAACAATTAGTACTGAAAAGTTACAGTGGCAAACTGCAGGAAAGCTTCATCAATATAAGATGGAAATCCTTGGAAATGTTTTCAAAGATATTGGCCACAATTTATTTTAAATCTCGCCCCCCCCCCCACAGCTCCCACAATTGTTTATTCTTGGGGCTGTGACTGAGCTAGCTCAAGAACCTTAGCTAAGAGTTACGTATACTCTGCTCTTGAGAATAACCCAACTGGGTATCTCAGTGCTGCTGTATTGATTTCATTCTTGATCCTGAATTTAACTCTGTTTGTGTTTTTATAATGTAAGATTACAGTTGTTTGCTTATTGAGGATTGTTGTAATCTGACTGAGCTGTTTTAACCTGCAATGTGTAACTCCAGTGTCTGTTCTTCCAGCGATATTGCATCTAGCAAAGTGCTAACAGCATGCCTCTGAGTTTCTCCATATGGGGAAGATGAATTTGTGCTTTCTCGTGTGTTTTGAAGACTAACCAGTTCATACAATTTGATTTTCGTGCCACTTTTTCTACGTTTCTTATGACTCCAGCGCAGGAGTTTTAACTAAAAGTTGCTTGTCTGTCTGTCTGTGCAGATTGAATCTTTTCCCGATACAGATATTGTCATCTGAACAAAGACTGATGAAGAATGTAACTTGGATCAGCTCGGGAACAATGGGAACTGTCTGTTTCAATATTTTAAAATCTTATCACCTCTTTCCTGGAACCTTTCTGAATAGTTCAGATTGGGCCAAAAATAACATGAAACCAAAGTAATTGGGATCGAAGCTTCTGCCACAAAGCGTAAAAGTAGCAAATGTGTTTCATTTGAACTAGATTTTGAGAGGGGAAAAGGGGGGATGATGTAGATTTTTTTTTTTAAAAATGAACTCAGGTCTGATGGCCATCAGGAAAAAATGAGAAAATTTGGAAACCACAATCAAAAAAACAGGCAAAATATTTAAAGCAAGAGCACAAAGATCCCAGAAAATTCCAGATAGCAAGACCAGGCAACTAGATAGGAAGGTTAGGGGGTCGAGAGACAAATTAGGTGCATACAACATACATAAAGTATATTCTGTGAAGCGCTTTGAGATGTCTTGAAGATGTAATAAGGTGCTATATCAAATGCAAGGATTATTATCATTACACACATAAATGCTGGAAGTGTTCGAAATACAATGCTAGAACTGAAGGCACTGGTGGCCGCTGATAATTATAATGCGGTAAGAATCCCAGAGACATGGTTAAATCAGGTTAAAGTGACACTGACGAACAGGTCAACAATAGTGGTTCAGTTCAGGATGCTGGACTTGTTTTTTTTTTAAATGTTAAAAAAAAGGCTTGATCGATTCTATGCAGGCAAGATGGCAGAGTCGGTACTCTGGATGGATGAGAACAAACAAATGGGTTACGGGGCTTTCTTGATCAGAACCAATCTCGGGGAAATTATCTTGTCTGTGAATTTCTTCTTCGATGTCCACATTATTTTCTACCGCACCGTTGGCCTTTAGTGGTTATTTGGCATTTGCGCCTGCTTCAATACAGGTAAAAGTAAATGCGGAGAAGTAGCTTCTTCATTAGCTGTTCAAAAGAAAGTGGTGTCCACCAAAGAGACACAGATCTCTAATGTCTCACCGGTATTTATATTCCTGAAGCACATTTCGTTGCTGATACTGGGGCTCTAAGCCATTACTTGCAATCCAACCTCTTCAACTATGTAGAGCTTTAATCATTATATACTGGCACTCTCCTTTACCCTTTGTGGTAAGACGCAATTCGAGGTGTTTCATGCCAGCAAAGAAGGCTTTAAAAGCACTGCGAACTTTGAGCAGTTAAACCCTAGGATATTACAGGCTTATAAATAATCCGTTATTTAATTCTTGTAAGTATTGAATATTAATACTTGCAATTGAAAGACATGAGAATTCTTATTTAGTTTCGGGCAAGATCCCCAGGATTACTGTCGCTGATTCTATTTCTGCTTTGCTATGCTCTGGTTTTGTAACAAACTATTGTCCAAAGCTATCAACCTCAGCTTTCTACCTCTGGAACTGCCGCTTGTAAAACAGACTTATAATTAAGCAGCTAAGGTGCTCACATGTTTGTGCTTTCGTTTCAGTTATTGTCTAGACATGGTTTATCATTTTTTCCCCCTCTAATCAGTTAGATATTCAGTGTTTTGGGGGGCAGAGGGAGATTACAGTTACAAATCTGAATTCGTATAATTAGTAGCAAGCAAAATATTGACGTGTTTTCTTGTAGCATTTGAAGTACTGTAATTGTGAGTACTGTAATCCCATTCTAATTTTTGATTCGGAGAACATTTTAATTCTCATTTGTCTCCATGTACTCGTATTTTTTTTTTGCGATTTCTTTGAATTTGTGTCTGTTTTCTGTATTTCTATGATTTTGATTTATCCGTTTTTCAGATGCTCCCCAAACTCCCCTCTCTGCTGTCCCTCCTTCCCAATCCCCCGCCTTTCCCGACGATGAAGAATTCAGTGACTTTATCCAAGGCCCCGAGTCCACCGCGCCTGCGGTTGCTGCAGGCTTCCTGCCCTTCCATCCCACGTCGCAGGCTGTGCCGCAGTCTAACCCGCCTATGGCTACGGCCCAGCCTGTCACTTCAACCCATTCCCCATCTGTGAATCCATTGTACGCAGCAACAGGGCTCTCTGCACAAAGCAGCCAAGGTAACCGAAAACAGAAATCACCGATTGTTCTAAAATGTCTCTTTAGAACAAATCAAATTGAAGAAAAAAAAACAATCAGTTTGCACTAATTTAAGAACAATCGTAACATTGAAACTGATTTGAACACAATGCATTTACTTAATGTTTCAAATTGAAATCATTTATCAATTTGCCAGCTGACAAAATCATGTCACAAGAGCATCTTCAGATTTGGGTTCTTTGTGGGGAAGGCAATAAGTGATTTATATTTTAAAAAATTGTATTTGATTGGCAGTGCCACGCCTTACGGAATTGAAAGATGTAATCTTTGGAGTCCCTCCTGTGAAATTTCAGTGCAATGTGGTTTTGTGTTTACACGCTGAATGAACTAAGCTAGGAAACGCTTGTTCCGACTCCTGTTTGTTTAGGCCCTTCCCTGGAGGAGAAAATGTTCGCTTCCTGTGACCTCAGTGCACCAAAGCAGGCGCACGTTGTGTTTAACAAACCTCAGCCCCAGGCCAGCATTGGGTGCAAAGCTTCAGTCTCACCTCAGTTTCAGCCCAGTGTTAAAGCCTGTAACTGGGCCGTGCAAAATGAAAACCTCAGAGGCGTCTTCGCAAGAGAGACGCCAAAGGAGCCAGAGCCAGCACCAGACATGTCAGCTAAAGAGAGTGGTGAGCAAATTTTATTATCATCCACGGTAACTGGGAACCGACAGCCAGGACAAAAGAGTGTTCCCTTTTAAACTAATATCTACATTTGTTAACCCTGCTTATCTTTTCTCATGGCTCGCCATCTTCCTGATCGGTTTTACGTGTGTAAAACGAGGAGCTTGCGTGTTTTAATCCCATTCTAATTTTTATGCAGCTTTAATCAGGTAATGCCGCTCTGCTGGTTCCTTTCAGCGCAGGTTGGCCTGTTTTATTGACTAACACGACCACAGTAGGAGCTGTACTGAGTGTGTTTTCTTCATGCGTCCTTGCATGTGCAGTGTCGCAACTGGTTCATACACAAGGAAAAAAGTAATCTCTTGCAATGAATTACCTTCCACTAATGAAAGTAACCATGAAAGTAACATCGAGGCAGCCTTTGCTTTCAGCAACAGCGTTCGGTGCTGTTAACTTGGTTTGTTCCGTCTAAATCTATGTGCTTGACAGCAGGTAAGAACATTGACCCTATTGAGAATGGCAGTGGCATTTCATCATAATTAAGTTTAATACTTATTGTTTATCCAGACTATTTTTAGTTTTAATCTCCTGGATTTCTGTATACCACGGCATGAGGCATCCTGCTACAAATCTCTTGTGATGGCTCAGTGAGTTTATGCAACTGACAGCTGAGTAATGCTGGAAAGTTGTGAGGTTTGTTGACCGTATTGGGTTAGATATCATTTGAAGTGACCCATAAAAATGCTCCGTGGATATTTTCTTTGCTGAACACTGAATTTCCGCTCATTATTTAGACCCGGTCATGATTGTAATGATGTTGAGATTCTCAAACATTGTAGTGAAATCCAATTTGCTACCCCACAAAGCAGCACTGCACCAGGGTTAACACTGGAAGTGAAGTGATTAGATTTGTTGCGATGGGTGACTCAATTTGAATGGGGGGGGGGGAGAAAAAGTATCATTCTACATTTAAGCTGTTACTGCCATTTTCAATTCGTCATCTGAGCAAAAGAACACTAAGCCTTTAACAAGACTAAGGAAATGTTGCTCTTTTTTTAAAAAAAACGCTTTCTTCTTTATTATTACCAGACTATCAATCGTTTTTCCTGTGCTTTACCAATATTTCTGAACAGGAAGTTCAGTGAGAGGACAAGGCAGATGGCGGCGTTCTTTATGAAAGCATTTTATTTTTAAGATGCGACTTGTATCCATCATGCTGTTTGTCCTACGTGAGGGTTGATGTGGTTTTATTTGCCTTAGGGGTCGGAGTATTTCCTCCACAAGACGCTCTCCATCCCATGCTGCCGGCCTGGATCTTCAACGATGGCCTTGTTCCAGGTAAAAGGTTCCGGGTTTGCTTAAAACTCCCCGAGCTGAGAGGTTAAGGCAATGGCTACAGCGGCTGCTTATTAAGTTTGCTGTTTCGCCCACAAAATACAGTCGATTCACTTTACAGTAAATTCTGTGAAGTGGTTTGAGACGTCTCGAAGACGTGATTAGGCTCTATATCAAATGCAAGGGTTTTTATATCAAATTACTATTGGAAATAGAGCCAGTCGATAGCATTACTGTGAGCCCCTAATACCTTTTCGAGGGTAAATTTCTGTAGAGCAGTAATTAGCATGTCAAAGAATTGTACCAATTATTCTTCTGATGAGCAAGGTTCGAGAATGTTCGGGGCAGTGACTCAACTCTTTCCAGCACTTTTCATATACCAGAAAGCAAGCGCTCAGATGAACTAAAACTGCCGGTTGCAATAACTACATCTCACTCGTTTTCTCAGCGGAAGATCCTCCGGATCCACTTAATTTTCCTCCAGTGTCTATCTCCTATTTATAAAGAAAGAGCATGCAATTTTTAATTGAGGCATATGTTGCTGAAACGTCCTTTACAGCAATTACTATCAAGTGACCTTTTAATAAGTAAATGCAGCAGCCATTTTGCATGGTTTGAAGTCCCACAAAGAGCATGAGGTGAATTTACAATTCTTATAGAATTGTATAGCAGCAGTGAGCGAAGCCTACATTTTTGTTTGAATTTTCTTTTTCTTTGAACTATGCTAACAATTTTTAAAATTGTTTCAACAGAGTTGTACAAGAAAGTTCTTGAATTCACCATTACCCCAGCTGGCATTGATACAGGAAAACTGTACCCAATTCTTCTGTCTTCAGGCCTACCAAGAGAGACATTGGGTCAGATATGGGCTCTTGCCAATAGAGCGACACCGGGAAAACTTACTAAAGAGGAACTCTATACTGTGTTAGCTATGATAGCTATGTCACAGGTACTGTAACTTTTAAAGATTTACTTTGGATTGGGTTAAGCATTTTGCTTGAAAGCAAAATATGTCTTGGTAAAGTCTCAATTCTCAAACTTCTAGCTTCCACTAAAATGTGGGTGGGATTAAGAAGTGCCAATTCATTCCTGAATGTCTTTTTGTTTTCAACTTCAAAATGACATTCCTTCCATCTGGTCTCAACCTGTTTAAATTGCTGTTGTCCTCAATTCAACCTTAATTTAGAAGCTGTTCTTAAAAAGACCCAGCAGTTGGGACTGAATTTAAGAATTTTCTACAATTCTGCTTGATCTTAACCATCAAGACCAAATTGTCTTAGACTAGGCAACATTTTGAGCCTTTGTGAACTAATCAAGCCAGTAATTTGATCAGCGGTTCAGATGAAGTGTAACCTTTGAAGTTTACTGTAAACCTTCACAGCTCGCCCTGAAATTACCGGCTTGAAGGACATTTTTAATGTTGTGAATTTGCAGCAGATATGTTGTATTGATTTGCACCTCTTCTAATTAACTGTTACGATAAGTTTTATTTTTAAGGTATTGCAATTTTTGTAGCTGAGGTCATTTGGCTTTGAAAGTGAAGCCTTCGACCGTGTAACTGAACCTTTCAGTAAATAATGACTGACACAGGGCTGACCGCGCCATGATTGACAGTGTGGCTGTAAATAAAGGTTTTCCGGCTCCTTAAATACAAAATGTTTTTGTAGGTAACGAACTGTATAGTTCAGAAGTACTGTGCACCGAGTTCATAATAAGGCAGAGTGACTTCATGCTATGATACTGCCATCATTGTACAGTATATAGAGTGTTCATTCTGCATTCAGCCCTACTGTGCATGATACTGATCAATGTTCTACCTTTTCAGAGAGGCATTCCTGCAGTGAGTTTTGAAAATCTCAACCAGTTTCCTTCCGCTCTGGTTCCTACGTTGAACGGGATCCCAATGACGATGGCTGCTTCAGTTCCACAGCAGCCTGTTATATCGGTGCCAGCGTCCAGTGCTGCATCTATGCCCGGTCACCCAGGGCAGCCTGTGGTGGGAATGAGTCTTCCTCTACCAGTGGGTGGCAGCACTGTGCAAGTTTCCGGTGGTTTTGTTGCATCATTCCCCATCAGTCAGGTAACTACTAATAGCATAATAATAATAATAATAATAGCATCTCTGTGGCAGGCATGTTGAAGCTATGACAGTGTAATGATTTATTAAGCAAAGTTGGTTTTAGGTCTGGGAACCAATTGTGAGTGTGACCATCTGCCAGGTATCAGCCTGGCTCTGACAGTACTACTCCTCCTTCTGAGTCGGTCTCTGTTCAAGCCCCAAGTCAGGACTTTGAATTCAATTACCTAGGCTGATACATCCAAGGCCGTATTGAATAGTATTGATGCAGTCCTCGACACCCTGGACATGGACTTGAGAATAGCACCAAAAAAATGCATTAACATCACAATTGCTTAGCTGACTCAAAAAATAATAATAATAATCCTTGCATTTGATATAGCGCTTTTCACGTCGGGAGGACGTCCCAAAGCGCTTCACAGAACACACTGTAAAGTGAATTGACAGTATATTTGTGGGCGAACGCGGCAGCCAATTGCGCACAGCGATGTCCCACAAACAGTCATGAATTGAAAATGACCAATTTATTATTGTTTTGTTTTTTTGGAGGGATTATTATTAGGTGTGTGGAGTAAGGAAACTTGCCCAAGGTTTCGCCCTCTGCCTGGAATTGAACTCAGGTCTCTCGCTTGCAAAGCGAGTGCTCTAACCACTGAGCTACAGGGCTCCAACCACTGAGCTACGTTGTGGTTTTTTTTCCCTCAAATAAACTATTTAAATTGGGGGCATAAATGACAGTGTAAACTAGAGGCGATTATATTAAAAAAAAGGCCGATGTGTCAGGAAATGAGGCACCCAGCCCTGCTCTGGTTCATCTCTATTATAAATGAATACCTCTGAATACCGTGTGCTTCACTGGAAGATGGTATTGTGAGATTAGCCCTGAAAGGGGTTCACTCATGTTAAATAGATTTAAAAAAAAGGGAGGTTGGATGTGAAAAATGGGCATCCAGATGTTTCATCTGCCTGCAGCGTTGGTGTCAAACCCTTATCTTCTGCTCTATTCCTTGGATACTTTCTGATACTTTCCTTGCTTTTGAATAATAGATCAATAACTGGGCTGTGAAACCTCCTTGGCAAAGTCTCAAGATTTAATGATTGCACTTTCAGACAAATGTGCTCCCGTCAAAGCTGATTTGAAATTACATTTGTTTTCCAGCAAGTTAATCTGTACTCTCCTGTGTGGAATGGGTTAACATGGTACAAGAAAGAAAACAAAAAGGGCGAGACATTTAATTAAAAGTGAAACGTGCTACACTTAATGCACCTTTCAGTCAGTGCTAGGCTTGTTTAATCGTAAGTTCTGCTAAAAGGCAGCTTGTCCCACATTCTTACGTCTGTAGGCATCGATTAACGGAAAGTTTCCAGATTGCCACAAAAATAAAACCAGGACTTGTCAACCAAAATAATTTCCAGTTGAGTGGAAGGTTCCCTTAAAGACTTTATTTATAACCCTGTCTGCTTCGTTTAAGTCAAACACTTCACTCGACTCAATAAAAATGTGTATTTGTGCATTTCTTTCAAAAATGGAAAATGTAAGTAACAAATCCTTATGGTTCAGAGAAGTGTGGCATGTAAAACGTGCTTTACAAATTATTCCTGGTTGTGATGTTTCATCATCCTTCTTACTCTTCCCCTCCGCAGGGAATATAATTCTGTGTGCAAATAAAAAGTGATTCAGCTGCTATTTTAATTCAGAACTATTCCCTTCTGCTGTTTCCTCCCCTCTCCCTCTTCTTTTTTTATCCCAAACCATTCTGAAAAGGTCGCCAGGCAAATCTGCCCCTGAAGCCCTTTCTTGTTTCTAAGCAGTTCAGATGATCTGTGAGATCACAGGTATACTGCAAATTGATCTGCTTTGGCTCAGGTGTGGAATACGGTATAATAACAATGGCTACTTACAGGATGATTTCAGGGTTGCACGTAACTGTTAACTGAAACCTTTCCTTTATCCAGGCTGTAAGGTGTGATGATGATGATGATTTCCAGGATTTTCAGGAGGCTCCTAAGTCTAGCGCAGCTGACGATTCGTTCACAGCATTCAAGAGCGAGGCCCCAGGAACTTTGCCTAAAGCACCCGGCTCTCAGACAAGAATCAGGTTAGATTACTAAAACAATGGTTAAAAGGCATGGCTATATCTATATATAGATATATATAGGTACTGTCATATTCCACGGAAAGAAACATGCCAAACTCGTCGGTTTACTCGCACAATAAAAATAAAGGTCGCCATAATTAATGTCAGTATTCATTAGTACCTTACTATGTTGTATCTAAAAGCAACACTAATCACTTTTCTAGCCAAATAAGCCTTGGCAAAACGGGATGTTTCTGTTTTGAAGATAGTTCAGACGATAGGCTTAGTCTACAGAGATACCTTTGCATTTTATAATATGCCACTCTTCATGTGTGAGACTCCAGTGAGTCCCTGCATTCTTTTTGACTGAGCACAGGCGATGTAACAGAGTCTAAACTTGTCTCTGAATACTTTCCAGCAGGATAAACAATTAAGTAGTTAACCTCGAGTAGTTAACCTCTGCTCATCCTTTCCTCTCCTTAGCAAAGGGACGTAGGCCAATTGTATCAGTAAATCCTTTTAAAACCAATGTGTAGAAAGCCTTTCAGCCCAACTGGTCCGTGCCAGTGTTTATACTCCTTGAGCCCCTCCCTTCTAATACTCTCTCCCATATCCCTCTATTCCCTTCTCCTTCATCTACGCATCTAGCTCCCTCTTAAATACGTTGGTGCTTTGTGCATCAACCACATTCTCGCCACCCTCTGCGTTTTAAAAAAAAATTGTGTTATGAATGCATTTCTATTATGTTATTCATTCCTAGTGCACCTACATTGCTGACCCCAATCTCTGGAACTTCAGCATCATCTTCGGTTGACAAATATGCAGTCTTTAAAGACTTGACGGAAGACAAGCCTTCAGAGAATACATCATTCGCAGGTACAGCAGATTGTCTTCTGCCAAGGCCTAAATTTCAATCGGATATTGATCATTTAAAAAATCTAATCACTGCACACAGCGCCTTTCCAAACAGCTGTAAATTTATGTGATATTTATGTAATTTTCTTTTGAAGGATACCTTCCTCTGTTTCTTGAGCTTTTTTCAAGAGCCTTGGCACATCCTCCCGATGTAAAAGGATCTATACGAATGCAATTTGTTGATGTTTTTGTCTTGCTGAATTCTCTTGGGTCTTGGACTGTATAGCTGCTGGCAGACAATTATTAAAGCAACTTTTACGCAGGTATTAGGAGACTAGTGAGTGGAGAGACCTATCCAATATTCCTTCTTGAACAGGGAGCCCACCGAGTACTCGTGAGATTAAATGCTCAGGTGAATGCAATGAATGGAACCAATATTGACCACTTTGAGAATTTGTGGTGAAGTGTATTGTGTAATTGTATTGAGATGGGAAATTTTGAATTTATGATTGGTAAGATTTCTTGAATTGGAAGGCCAATTGGAATGGGAGAGGGCAAGAGGAGAACTCAAACTGGTTTATATAGTTGGCAACTTTTAGGCAAAAGCACCATTAAGAGCTACTACTTAAAACACAGTGAGCCCAAGCCATCGTATATACAATGATCATATAAATCAGGAAGTTAACTCTCTGACTAATGAAAGTTCCAGCTGTGAATTTTGTTTGGCTACATTTGACCTAAATTGGTATTGAGATTAATTTGAATATTTTGATTCAGTCACTCCGACTCACCTCCTCCTTAGCCTCCTTCAAGTCCCGCCTCAAGAGCCTCCTTTGACCATGCCATCGGTCACCCCCCTTCCCCTGCCCTCCCTTACGCCCCCAACCCCAGCTCGAGTTTGAAATGCTGTACTCTGTCCAGCGCCTTGGGACGTCCTCCTGACGTGAAAGGCGCTATGCAAATGTAATCTTGTTGTTGATTCACTTTTTAAAAATTTCTTTTGATTTAGATTTTGGAGACAAATACAGTGTCTTCCGGCAGCTTGACCATGGTATGGAGAATAAATCTTCAGGTGAGTAGCTATTGAACACTAAAATTAATGTAAGCAGTAAGGAACTTTCTGGTTATATTTGATAACGTGTATAATAACGAGTTCTTGTGAGAGAAGGGTTGTGTGTAAACTGCTAGAAATCATAATACTCTTTCTCCAGGTTGTAGACATGCAAGTGTCAATAGGGACTGAAATATTGTTCAATTGGGCATGATTGATTGGCTTCCTGCTTTTTGTAAATAAGGACTTGTGCCAATTTAATTTCGAGAGAGAGAGATGAATAGAAAGCATTTTCGAACAAATGCTTTGTTCCCCATCCATAATTCAGAAAAGTTCCACCACATCAATCTTAACATTACAGTCCATATTATATTCACTTCTTACCAATTTCATTCCACAGATTACATTTCTATGGCACTTACAAAATTGGAGCTGTATTGTTCAAATAGAGTGTTTAATCATAAGGAAACAAAAACAGAAGTCGCTGGGAACACTCAGCAGGTCAGGCAGCATCTATGGAGAAAGGAAAGTGAACGTTTCGGGTCCACGACACTTTGTCAGTTCTGCAGTATTTTGTGTTTTGTTTAATCATAAGGGTCGTTTATCAACAAAGCTCAGATCAGTGTAAAAATTACCATTAAAATACGAACCTTTAAGCATAATGGTCCACTACTAAAACCATACTGTTCAACAGTCAGCATAATATACTGTCAGTGACAAACTAACCGGCAATTGTGTTTATAATATGTAAGGTGTGGTGTGTACTGAGGGTTCACACCCCAAAGGAACAGAACTCAATTGCATAGAGCAATGGTACCGGTCTGTATCTGCATTTCTTAGCTTTAATCTCATGTTAACCACCTGATTTATCTAGTTTGTTTTCAAAACGAATCAATGTATAATCAATTGCCTTTGATGAAAGCGTGCTCGATGGGTGGTAGGGAGGAATATTGCTTCTTCATCGTGTTTGAGGTTTGCCAAAGCCATAAATGTTTCATCTTAAGGGGTTGGCTAATAAAGTCAGCTGTAAGATCTTAGCATCATCGTCAGAACTCAGAACTAATAGAATGGAAAAAGGCCAGTTTAATTGTAAAATTATGTCTATTTCTTATCTATGGGTGTGCGTGGGAAAGGGGGTCCACAAATTCAGCCTTCAATGTATTATCTTTAATGAATGTCCTGTGTTTCCTTCCTAAAACTGCCTCTTGTTGTTTTACATTAGCCCCAGATTATAATATATTGAGGAGCACACTGAAGTACATAACCTCCCATTATGACAAACCTTTTGAATAGCAATTTCTTGCCACTCAATATCCCATTTTTATTTTGACTGAATACTCACGGATGCTCTAAATAACAAACATCTCCTTTAATTGAATTCTCACAGTTCACACATTTGCATTACTTGCAGAAGGGTATAGCAGTGAGGATAAAGTGCAATTGCAATTGTGTTTCGTGATCTGTATGCTTTTAATTTTTTTATACATATTTAATTCTTTCTTGTTACAGCCAAAATAGTTGTAGGATAGTGTGTAAAAAGTTAAGTAAGTAAAAAAAAATAACTTTCTACTTGCTTTGTTTTTCTGCTCTCCTCCTTTGTTTTAAATGTATTGATATCCAATTGTATATAATAATTTTTAAAAATTGCATGGATGAAGTAGTATATTAATACCAGAAAATGGTATGATGCTTCTCCTTGCTGTTACTTAGCTTGTGAACCCCCAATACCACGTTTGTTTTTTGGGTGAGTGTGGAGGGAAGAGAAAGATATTTCATATAGGAGGAATGGAAGGTCCTGAGTTTCTATCCTGCACTTAAAGGATTGTCTGACATTAGGAAAGGGAGCTGACACTCCCTTCTTTTGTCATTTACAGAATAGAGTGAGTTAAAATGGGGAGGAGGGGAGAAAAACAGTTCAGCAATTGTGGTAAGCAAGGAAACATTGCATTAGTAAACCTCTCAATGTAGAAAATGAATGCCATGTTGATAACGTTGTAGAGGACCATTCTAGTTCTGAATAAAATACAAATTTATATTTATATAGCACTTTTTGCATCAGGAGGACTTAACAAGGCGTTTGACAGTCCTGGCTTGGCACCTGAGCTAGGGGTGGGTAAAAGCCAAGGTGGGGTTGGGGTGGGGGGTTGGGAGAGGAAAGATGAGCAAATGTTTTTTGGGAGGCAGTCTTACATCTGGAAACAAACTGTTTCACTGAAATTAGAGATTGTTTTTTCACCAGAATTATTTTTCATTTCTTTGTGTACAGAGTAAGTTGCCCTTTCGTGAAAAAAGACTGGTGAAAATATTTTTTTTTAAAAAACACTAATCGCAAAGATAGGGAACCAACATGGTGTGTTTAAGAGATTCTCCATAGTACAATATTTATCTCTTGGCTTTAGTTGTCTTATCTAACAGCAAGTCAATCTCTCTCTTGGCTTGATTTTTTTGTGTTTGTGACAAATGATTATTTTTACATTTCACCTGTGCTCTTGTGGTCCCCAGTCTCCTTTAACCGAGTTTTCAGATTTTCTATGTACTTTGTGTGGGATCAGAGAAACTACAAATATTGGTCTCCTTCTCCATGGGAGTTTATCTGCTAGTGCATGCTTGTTTATGGTGCTTTCGGTTTAGTTACAGACTTTGGCGCTGCCTGCCTGTGTGTGTGTGTGTGCTGTGTGCTGTGACGGTGATGCATATATTCCAACCTTAACTGCTGGTATTTTGTCACTGAAAAGATGTGTGTTTACAGGGGAGGGCTTTGCAGAATTCAAGTCGGCAGTGAATGATGATGGATTTACAGACTTCAAAACCGCGGACAGCATTTCACCGCTAGAACCTTCGGAGCAAGCAAAGACCTTCACGGCAGCCTTTCCCCCTGTGCCATTTCTTCAGCAGCCGCCACAGCAACCTGCACTTCAGCCTAAAGACGCTTTCAATCTCACAGACCTTTTTACTTCTGTCAGTTCCAGCGGAGAGAGCAAACCTGTGCCATTTCCACCTGTTTCTGTGACATCGTCCATTGTTTCATCTGTGTGTGTCACATCCTCATTGTCACCATCACTCTCATCCGGTGCTTGTACCTCGACCGGTGGCAAAGCTGCTGGTGGGGCAGATGACTTTGGGGACTTCAACCTTTTCGGAGCAGCCACCAGTGCTTCGTCAGGTGGGGGGTGGGGGCAGGATGAATTTGCAGATTTTATAGCTTTTGGCAGCGCCGGCAGTACTGGATCTTCTGAACAAAAATCAGATGATAAATATAGTGTTTTCAAGCAGGAGAAGAACAATGGCTTCACGGCATCTTTCGACGTCCCATTGGGCTTGACGGAAAGTGGGCCACCACCTCCTATCTCAGCCACAGACAAGTACGATGTCTTCAAGCAGCTGTCCGAGGAGGGTCCTGTGATGGGCTTTGAGGAGCAAAAAGACAACCTTTCCCTTTCGCAAGAGAAGAATGATGATGATTTTCCGGCTGCAAAGTTCCCTCCCGCTTTCAGCACCTCGGACAAAGCTTTCATAGATAAGCTCTCCGCTTTTAAACAGGCGAAAGAGGACTCTGCCTCTGTGAAATCTCTGGACCTTCCTTCTATTGGTGGGAGCAGTGTTGGGAAAGAGGACTCGGAAGATGCCATATCCGGTCAATTTGACATGAAGTCAGCTGAGGTCGGTGGTGACCTGAAACACGTGTTGTCTGACAGCTCGCTGGACTTACCACCCGTCATTGGTCAGCAGCCTCCTATTCCAGGTGAGGAAATGGTTCGATTGATCTGGTGAAACGCAGTACCAAGCCGCCTGCACGCACACCGCTGTTACCTTTCTGTAATGCAGCACTGGTTGATACAGGTGAAGTATATCGAACGGTCCGTTCTTTATAATCACCCCTCCGGGGAAGTGTGTTTGTCTCGCTGCAGTGGACATAATTATCTTTAGCTCTTATTTGTAATGGGGGTGAAAATCCAATGGTCACTTTAGATTCGGAGCTGTTGCCAAACCACTTCAGTTAGGATATGTAATGGCTGCTTTTGTGCCATGTTTAGCCCATTGGGTACCCCAGTTGGGCCAATTTGGCCATTGTATTTTTGTAACACTTTAGTATCCAAAAGGATTGTGGATGAGTGCGCCAGGAGATGCTCCATAGAAACAGTCCAGGGAGTAACGTGTTTGATCTGATGTATTTATTTTATCCAAGTAGAATTTAAGTTTGTCATTTTTTTTTTTTACTTTGTGGACAACCACATTCAGTAACTTATTGCTCATAAAACTCTGATAGGAAAGAGTTGGATTTCTAGTTTCAAGTGCAAATTTTGTGCAGTGCTCCACATAATTATTAATTGCTGTGGGAGCGAAAGACCAATGCTATGGAAATCCAATGATGGCTTGTTGCACATCTACAAAGATCCTTTGAAGCTAGATTTTAAAACAGTTAACTAGATTAAAGGAGCATTGGCGTCATGCTAGGTTTAGTTTTAATTTGCATATTCCCAAACTGGTTGCACACAAGTAATATAATAATAATCCTTGCATTTAATATAGCCCCTTATCACATCATCGACACGTCTAAAAGCGCTTCACAGAATATAATGTAAAGTGGTGTGACGTGTGTTTTTGTGGACAAACGCGGCAGACAATTTGCGCACAGCATTGTCCCACAAACACTGGAATAGCTGAATGGTCTTTTTTGCTGAGGAAACAGCAAATCGTGGGGATGAATGTGCTAATCCTGTGGGAATGATGCACTGAACCAAACTTAATGCCAACCCACGTGGCAGTAAACACAATGGAGAAACATGGCTTTCATTTTTTAGGTGGGGGAGTAGGGGGGAATCTCCAAATAACATTAATCTAGGATGATGATAAAATAGGGTTTCTTGGGGACATAAACAAATGGAGGCTGGACAGAGGATGTTCATAATTTTTTTTCCCCTCTTTACCTTTGCTGCTTTTAATCGGCATCCTAGTTTGATAGAAAAGGTGGGGTTAAGTATCAAATGCTTGGGTAATGTTTAACCTGGAACATTCATGGATATTCACTGCACCTTCCATATAACATGCCACATATAGGTGGGGATACCATCGGTGCACAGTGTTATTATCATCATTGAAACATGGAGCTATGCACATGTACTTTTTTAAAAATTGTGCAAAGTTAATGGTAAGTACAGGGGTTGTTCTCTCTATCAACGGGCAAGTTTTAGCTTTTGTAATGCAGCTAGCTGAGCATGGCTGGAAAGAGAGCAAAATAGTAGATAGAATATGTTGAGTTTTCCCTCAAACGTTTTGAGTTAACAGGAAGACTGAAGCAACATTTAATTTTAGATCTCCACTGAACTAATTACTAGGGAATGCGCACGTGGAAAGTTAGAAGGTCAGTAAAACTATTGGAGCTTGCTTGGACACCGATGGAATTAGAGATTATCAAATGGCATCATTAATTTGAAGAGGGTTTTTTTAAAAAGAAGTGCTTTGAAGAGATCTCATGTAGAGCTCTGGTATCAAGGAATCAAATGGATTATAACAGTGTGGATGCGAAAAAGGAATAACCATTATTGCTTTGGGTGATCCAGTGTTACGTTCGTAATTGAAACTGACCTGATCAGGATATCTTGAAGATTACAGTGATGCCCTCTGGAGAGCAGTAAAAAGACAACTTACATTTATATAGCACCCTTCACATAGAGTAGTGTCCCGGAGAAACCTTCTGATCTGGAAATAAATAATAACCCTTGTATTTGATACAACGTCTTTCAGGTCAGGAGGACCACTGCTGATACGAAAGGTGATTTACCAAATGTGAGGATTTTTGTTGTTATTAATATGCTTCAAGGATAATAATAATAAATCCTGTAGAGGTGTACATCACACCCAAAAAATGTGACACCTCCCCTGTGTTTGAGGTGTGGTAATACACTCAAAACACTTCCGAACTCCAGTGAGTGTATTTTGTAGCAAATGCCTACTAAATGGAGTCAGCTTTGCACGGGATTGTATCAGTACATTCAGTTCACTTTTTATTCCATTTAAACTTGTGAATTCTGCAGGAATAGTGAAAAAATTGAATTCTGTGGGAGAAATGCACCTTGTTTTTTTACACTTAGATGAATGTTCAAGATAAAGACCTTCCCATTTGTCCTGAACAATAAAACCTCCGCATTAGATTTGAAGTGCCCTTACTGCCCTGCAGGTTATTTTTCCTCAAATAAGTATAACTTTTATAATTCACGTTTGCCCACTTGTATCTTGTACTCATTATAGGATGTCGCTTATGATGGGTAGCATGCACGCCAAGATACATGTGAACAAACAGCAACGTCCAACAAAAAGATTGCTTTTGACTCGGATTATCTTTATGGATGATTGACGTTTCCACTGTTTGTTTCAGATCTGCACAGGCTAGGGAACATACCTACGGCTGTTCTGATCTGGGTGTCATACCATCACCATGGGTATTAATTTCTTTACTCACCAAACCCGTTAGGGCAGCCACATTTAATTTGTTTTACATTTTCCTTTCTGTGAATGATTTTTCTGGCATTGTTTATCGCCAGCTGTCTAAAATTGTTTTCCCAAGCCAGTTGAGCACATTTCAAGATGGTTAAGGATGGTTGTGTTGAATCCGGCTTCTCATTCCTGCCCCAGATTGAGAACAAAGAACAGTGTTTCCCTGGCACTTTGCATGTTGTTCTTCTGACAATTCCCCTGGTGCACAGGATCAGTTGCAGTTTTATCACAGGTTTGTTGCTGAATTTCTTTATTTCTACCCAGCAAGCCAGCTCGACGTACAGACGAGTGCCATTGAACTCTCCAAGAACCTTTTCATCCCAATTTGTTGCCCTCATACCTCTGCAGTGGGCACTGCTTACAAAGTGTTTTAACAGTGCCGTGGGTATTGGTGATATAACTGATCCTGAAAAACATTTAGATACAATTTCTGGCTGCCTTGCATTTAATGAATCTGCCCTTTCCTGACTTGGACAGTCATCAAGTGAGCAGTTGGTTGAGGGTGAAGGAAAAAGTGGAAGAAAGGGGACCAGAACAACAGTATTCATTTTCCTCTGTGAGAATGTCATCTTTTCTAATATCTGATTCCAGAATGAGAATATCAGTGGTATTTATTGGTGAGGTTTGTGACTACATTCTTCATCTGGCTGCGTGAGGATAAGGCATCCGGAGGAAATAAACAGGTAGAAATTGTAAGATTAAAAGTATTGTTTTGCCTCGAACCCAAAGCTGCTGCTTATGAGCTGCGTCACTGTTGCTCTGTGCAATCCCAGTGACCTGCATAGTTTCAGGCATTTAGGAATAAGAACGAACATCAATATTGCTTCTTGTTTGACAGGATTACTTATGAATGTGCATAATGCTGCTTTTTGGAACCTTAAGTGTAGCTGTGTTTAGTGACATACAGGAGAAATAATTTGGCAGCACTGGAATGAAGACAGGACAGTAACCTGGAAATAAAATAGCAAATGGCTGGTGCACATAGTAAATGCAATATGGTCATTGGATCTTGTGAACTAGCTACTCGTTTCTTCTAAGTATTTCAACACTGGTGTCGATTTTAAGCACTTTTTTAAAAAAAAATCTGCATTGTTAGTAGTGGCTGGTGAGTGAGACACGGCAAATTCAAGCTACAGAGCTTGTAAAAGCCTATTTAAACTATTTAAACTGCTGTATGTTAGCAGGTGTCATCTAGAGTTGAATGATCCCGATATCTGCTGCTGCTTGCCAGCTGATTTGATTTTGCAGTGTGTGCTATGCAATACAGAAGTGTTTTCAAATCTACAGTAAATGATGCTTAGGTTTTTTTTTAAAAAAGACAGTTATCCTTACATTAGCTGTAAGTTCAATTAATTGGAATATTGATTGACCTTAATTGTGTGCCGAGCCACATATGAAAATGTCAGAAACTGAAGTAACAGAAACTGAAGATTGTGTGCAAAAAGAATGCACAAAGTGTGTTGTTAGGTATCAACTCACAAAAAGTGCATTCTCCAACAGAGATGCGGTTAAAATAACAATAAGCAGAGAATATCATTCATACCAATCTATAAATCAAAATATATTTTCCTTGCATCAATATCGTGTGGGGATTGTGAGTTTTAGAGTAGAAAAGTGTTTGAGACTATTTCAAGGACTTTTTAAACTTGAGACTCTTTCAGTTATAGAAGTGAATAGTCTTATAAATCACCGTGCCATTAAATATAAGATAGTAACTTTACAAATGTTTTCCTTTTTGTTAGAACATTCCTCTCCTTGCATCAGTATTATAGAAACCTGACCAATCCTCTAAGCTCTTTTGAATAACCTTTTGCTTCTTAGTCTGTCTTTGACTTTATGTAAAGTAATTGTTAACCTTGTAAGCTAAAAGCATTTCCCACGAGGAATTTATAGTCCAGTGTTTATGCAGCATGCCTAAACAGATGCACAGAAATAAGGGAAATAAGGCAGTAGCTGCATTTTCCTAAAATCTTCTATACATTGACGAAAGTTCACTAGAAAAATCTCACCTGTAGCATTTGCTATAAACTGCTTCCCAATATGTGTTCTTTAAAATATTTATTTATATCTAAAACGTGTAGCATAACTGATTAGGACAGAGCTGCTTTATATTGAAGCAGAAACCTCACATACAGTGAGTGATTAGTTATGGAATTTAGTTGCACAATTGTATTCATTTGATTATAACGCTTAAAAAGCCTCGCTGACATGATAAAAACAGATTGAATTGGAACAGCAGAAGTCAGC